TTCTTTTTGGGCCCATGCGTCCACCTCCTTCTTAAACGCTTGGTCAAAAGCTTCATTCTCCGAGGGCACTCCAAGTCTCTTGTAGTGTCCTGCTAGAACTTCCCTTTTTCCCTTCCCACTGCTGACTAATCCACCGTTCACACCTCGCAAAGTCGGGGGGGGAAGGTTATTTTGAGCAACCCACGTCATGACCAGACAAACGGCGTTCTGGTTCCAAACGGGGCAAAACCGAGGAGTTCCGTGAGACTTGAAAAGTTCTTTTTGTTTGTGAAACCGTTTCTCCGTGCCTGGTACCGCGGCAGGACTCGAACGTTCTTTGATGTTTGTGACGTCGTTTGCTCGTGCCTACACCGCTGCGGCAGGACTTGGAACGCTATTCTTGTTTGTGACCCCGTTTCTCCGTGCCTCACATGCTAACGTCGGTGGCAGGACCACTCCCACAGCCACGGGCACAAGGCTATCGGGGACGGAACGACGACCGCAGCCAAGCGGTTCGGTATTGATAACTTCGTCTACCGACAGCGGAGACCGTTCAACCCGGAGAGGCTGGCAGAACTGTTCAAGGTGATAATGCTGCTGCTAGTATATGCACACAAGTGTTGCGTTGCTGGTGTTGTTGTTGACGTCGTTGTCGTTGTTAAGGCGGTTGGAGGGCGACCCCTGATAGTCCACGCCTTCGGTTGCCGTTGGCGCTGCTGTTGCTGTCGCTACTTAGTCCACCCACGTCAGTTGTGCTCACCCACGGTCTTGTGTTACACGAGCCATCAGAGTAAAATCGATGACTTTGCTGTCGTTTTAGAAGTAGTCCGCGCGCGTCGTCGCTGCCCTTAAGCATTGTGGTCGCTAGCTACTAGGTCTTCTGTCTTTTGGCGGCCGCTGCAGGCGGTAACGATATGCTTGGCGCGAGCATCGGCGACAGCAATATGTTCTTAACCTTTCAGCACCTCGCCTTCCCATGCGTGTTGACGTGGCTTTTTCTTCGTCGCAGAGCATGCCTAGCTCGTCGAATCTTGCCCTCAAGGGGGTAGCTTCAGGGGCGGACGATAGCGCCAAAGCAGCCGATGGGACTAGCAGCAGCACTAGCGACAGCGAGGCCTTGAGGTTGGCTCTACGGAAGGTCGTGCGGTCGAAGGGATTCATGTGGCTCGCCTTCAGCGACAAGGCGGCCATGTACTGGTCTCACGCCGGTGAGAACTGACCTGTGTTTCGGCCACCTTTGTGCCTTTGGCAATGCAGTGTTCGCAAAATAAAAGGATATAATCCTCTTGTTCGCGTTTCTCCCCCCCCCCCTCGAAGGAAGCTCTCCGAACTGAATCACGTTGCAGTTGGTCGTTGGGATTCCGCGGTGGCTCGCCATCTGGTTGAGTTGTCACCGTGCAAGGTTCTCACGCGCACCTGATACTAGATCTGGCTACAATATA